AATATTCCTGGATGTTATTTTAGATGTAAGTTTCATTTATTATCTGAAGTAATAAGCATAAATCCAGTTTTAAGGAAAATGCAGTATCGTATCAGTCTATTGCATAGATTCTGTGTGCTCCATCTGCATGTGCAATCTGCTTCTATATTTTCAGCCAGCTTGCATGGGCAGATTAATGTGTACAATTAGAAAGCAACCTCACAGGCGTTCAATAAACTGCCTTCATTATTACACTCAAGAGAGTCCCTTTGGATGTCTATAAAAGCCTAGTTTTCTGCCTGTTAGCTAAATAATTGACAACGCTTAAAATAATCAGGAGCAAATGAACAAAACAAAGACAATTGTGGTGAAAAGAAGCAAACAAAGGATTCTCAAGGCTGCAAACCCTTTTTGTGTGAGCTCTCTTTCATTCTCTCTAGCAACCTATATTAAAAGTCTGGTCAGGTTTACGTTTGTACTTCTGTGGGGAAAATCTGTTGCCAGCCTGCCGTTTGAACCACACATCATAGGGGACTGAAAACTGGCAAGGACACTAGTATTTATCCTGTAAAAATAGATAAATAAATAAAAATTCTGTTTTGATTCAGGTTTTATTCTCTTGCACTTTATGACTTTTGAGAAAACTGTTTTGGCAGGCAAGTGTATATCAACTTGGTTTGCTGAACCTCCTGCATTGTGTTTGGAATATGCACTTACAGGCACTCTGGCAAATTCTGTTTCCAGCTCCAAATTCTGAGCAGAATATATTGAGTGCGCACATGTACTCAGATGTAGCAGTGCCAAGAATTTTTACAGAAGTACAACCTTCACAAAAACAGAGGCATGAATATGTAACAAAAGGAAGGATGAAGGGACACAACAGTCATCATGTACATGTAGAAAGTAACCCTATGTTCTAGACTGCTTAACCCATTATATAAATAGGTAGATGACTATCAGATAAACAGTGGACCACATCCAACACAACAGTTTTTGGAAAGTAGAATACAAATTAAATAAAAGCATGTTACTAGAGATCTGGGCTTAAACTGTACGGCGAGATACCCTAGAGTTCAAACATGGATTCACATAGCTGCACAGCTGAGAAAAGCAAGTCATGAGATGCCCATCCTCATTACTGTTTAAATGACAATGTATTAACTAAAGATGGATGCCCTGAAAAGTCCTCTTCTTTGTTTCCATTTGGAAAGGTGGACAGTCAGTTCTTCCCTCACATGAATTAGCAACTGCAAATTATGGACTATACAAGCCTTAACTACCTTTTCATGCACCCTGACAGAAACACCATCAGGAGCATAATGCAAAATGCATCCAAGATATCATGACTCAGAATGAAGGACTCCATTTCATGGGTAGGTAGTTTCTGGTAGAAAGTCAACACATACACCCCATTTTCTAAATTTGGCATTTGCAGGGACAGAACCACAGCAACATTATCACCAGCAAATCCCTCAGGTGTTTTTTATCCATTAGCATAAACTGTAGCAATCACTTCCTACATATGCAGCAACTTCTTCATTCCAAAGTTCAAAGAAGCTTACAAGGCTTTCAAAACATAGGAAATAACTGTACTTTGTAGGCAGAAAAAAAAGTTGCAGGGATTTCAGTGAGAAGTTCTTGGTTTTAATAGTGACAAGAATTTAATCAGAAATACAAAATTCAAGACAGCGTCATACTTTATTAGAGTATGTTAATGACATGAGAATCTTAAGTGCCTTTCCTTATCAAATCGAAGCGGCACTTCATGCAGGAGAGGTACTGATTGGGCTGTACCCCTTGGAGGCTGATATGGCTAGAGGTGGTGATCAATTTTAAAAGGTTTTCCAACTAATGAGAGTGCTGGTAGGCATTGATCTCCTCAGGAAAATTGTGATGTTGCAGCTACAGATCTTATAGAGGACAGACTAACAAGGGAGCTTATCTTTTGAAATGTCTCTATGGGCCATGACTTTGCAGAGGTCACTGCTTTATACGCAGCACATGACCTTGCTTCCTCCGTCTCCCAGCAAGCAGAGAAGGAGATCAAAATACTCTAGCAGAAACAGCAAGGAAAGGGGCACAACCTCACATTTATTCTCTTCGCCTCTAGACAAACGGTATTAGATGATGCAAGTAATGAGTCACTCATTTTTGCATAGTAGGTCTTTTTTTTTGCATAGCATGTCTTTAAATACCAAGCATTTCTATGTGAACATGCACTACTTCACAAAATCTGAAATGTCACACAGAATCTTTCCATTACTCCTGGATGCTGTGCTCCATAATGACAACGTATCTCAGCAATGCATCCTCAGCAACATCCAGTGGCACAGACGCCCCTTCCTCTGCTCACCAGATTCCTTCAGACCAGGGAAGACACTAGTGTCACTCTGTATGTTAGGGAATACATTCAGTGCAGGTAGCTCTGTGTGCAGCTACAGTGCAAAGCTGCAGGTTGAGTTCTGGGGGCCAGGAGCCCTAGCCCAAGGCAAGAGGTCATGAACTGCTGACATTTGCATGAAAAAGGGTATGGAGACCTTTGGTTCGGCCAGAGCACCTGACACTTAGAGACACCACAGGAGCCAAGGACCCCCAGACTTCCCTTCCCCTAGACTGTGACCTTTGTTCAGGGTCCCTCCTCAAAAACACTAGGTCAAACTGGTATTTTGTTTTTCAGTTATTCCATCATGATTAAATTATTTTAAGGATCCAGACGTCTGAGACAGTGCTATGGGAAGCCTGGGGTTGAGTTGGAAAGGAAACCTGGTCTGATTGTGTGAGTTGGGGAGTGCAGCTGTGGAGGTGCTTCAGTCCCAGCTCAGGTGGTGCAAGAGTGACTGCCAGAGTAACTTCTGGATGGTTGGACAGGGAAGTTTCCTTAACACTGTACAGCATGGAAGATTTTTGCTTAACTGAAATTGTATTCACTGTAGGTAGCTTTTCAGTTCACTCCCTCCAGGAGTAGTAGCTGCAGGACCCTTCTGTGTATGTTCAATACATGGTACATACAAACAACGTTCTAATAGTTCAACATAATCTCAAGCAATGGAGTTCGATAGTCCATCTTTACTTTCAGTTTCATCAATCAATTGGTTTCCAAAGATGAATGCTCCCAAGCCTTTCCTTAATCAGTGGACAGATGCCAGCCAGTCTACTTCTCAGTGTCCAGGCAGCCAGAGCTCCTGCACCACCTGGGGACTATCTGACTGCCCACACAGAATCATTTAGGTTGGAAAAGACCTCTACAATCATCATGTCCAACTCTTAACCCAGCACTGACAAGTTCAGCACTAAATCATGTCCCTTAGCATGACATATACACGTCTTTTAAATACCTCCAGGGGTAATGATTCAATCACTTCTCTGGGGCAGCCTGTTCCAATGCTTGACCACCCTTTCGGTGAAGAAATTTTTCACTTGTGGCCATGTCCACTTTTCCTATGTTTCAGAGGATTTGGGCCTGCTTTTGACAAAACCAAACTTACTTTTCATGGAAAAATCTCAACATTAGAATTCATTTCACCCTAAACAAAAAAATGTACAGACAGAGAAGTGAGGGAAAGGAAGATATATGTCTCTGTTCATAACTGAATATGCCTTAAGACAAACAATTATGTTAAATTAGAAGATAAGAACCCTGACAATCCCCTTAGGAAGAAGCAAGGCCCGTAACTGAGGACCTTGCACTGCAAAGACCTGATGTGTCTGTTGTTCATTTAGGCTCAAAGAGAATGAAAATGTCTAGTCTGTCAGAAATAGGCAAAGATCGAAACTTGTGCAGGGTCTTCAGAAATCCTGAGGAATCAAGGTGTGTTTGGGGAAATCCACACCAGGACAAACAGCAAGCAAAACACCAATATCTAGAGACAAATGCTGACAACATATTAAAGGAAAGAGCTGTGCCTGAAGCCAAATGGGAAGAAACAAAAGGAAAATAGAAGAAAGGCTGAGACAAGTGACAAAGCACTAAAATATCTATGCATTAGAGAACAGAGTCTGGGCAAGTGGTGAAGACACTGGAGCTACCAGCATGGGGAATAAGTGACTCCCTTAAAGGTCACATAGGAGGAAAAAAGCAATCAATCAGGGTAAACATACAGGTGAGTAATTTCAGAAGCCTAAGATAAAAAAGGTAAAGGTGACTAAACAGTACTGTGTGTTAATTATGTGATAGAATCAGTTTGGACCAGTTAAAAATAAATAAATAGGGTAGAGTGAATTGGCAAGGCAGGAACTTCACTGCCAATGGAATTAATTATGTCAGGACTTAAGCTGTATCTAAATCTGATATTAAGGAGGTATTTCTGGGAAACAGGTCTTCACAACAAGTCTCTACCTTTAAGTATGCTAAATATAGGAAGTCCATGTTTCTTTACTAGTCAATAAAATGAATGGGTGGAGATGTAATTTAGATCCTGTTTCAATAGCTAGTCTTGGATTGAATGATCACCTATTGATTCAGTTAGAGAAAGAAAGCAAGAAGTCATTCTATAATTCACAGCTTTCATTTCAAAGTGTATGTTTTAGGAAGCTAAGAGAAGTCTACAGAATCAAATTTCTCATAGAATAAGGTGTGGAGGAGGCTTGGAATATTTCACAGAATCGTAAAATCATCAAGGTTGGAAGGGACCTCTGGATGTCATCTTGTCCAACCCCCTGCTCAAACAGGGCCACCTTAAGACAGCTGGCCAGAACTTTTGAATACCTCCAAGGATGGAGAATCCACAACCACCCTGAAAAACATGTGCTCATATTCAGTCACCGTCAGAGTAAAAAAGCATTTCCTGATGTTCAGTAGGAACCTCCTGTGTGTCAGTTTGTGCCCCTTGTCCTGAAATAAAAAGTTTCAAGTCAAAACCTGAAAAAAATAGCAACAGAAGCCAAATCCTTCCTGAGTCCTGAATCAGGAAAAAAAAAAGGGCAAACAAACAAATAATATGAAATAATAATTAAAAACTCAAACAAACAAGAAGGACAAACAGATGAGGAATTTTAGGTAATAATTTTCAAATTTTACTTACTACAGTTGATCTCCAAGAAACATCTCTCTTCTTTGCATTTCTTGTTGTCTTTTTTTAACTTCAAGTCTCTCTGCCTACAGCATTAAAAACAGGAAACCTTATTTGAGGTTTCCAATAAACGAGAAACAAACATTGATTGTTTCAATTCCAGTATTTCAATATTCTGGTCTTAAAAAGGTCTATGGCAGCAGTTGGGTACAAGGGTGACCTAATCTCAAATTTAAAAGTAATCAGATATGGCCAGACATCTCCTAGTCAGAGATCTGTTTAAAGTAGAAAATGACATGGTGCTCCTAGTAGATCCATGTACCCAAAGGGCCTTGTAAGCCTTGACAGTTCTCATATCACAACCATGCTGGGGGACCCCTCTTGGAACATTGGTCCTAGTAAAAAGGTAGAGGACCCAACCACCACACCAAAGCAGATGATAACCCTGAAGCACTGACAGTGCAGTGATACGAGTACGTGCAGCTCATAGACCTGACCTTCAGGAGCATTAGGCACTGGCCAGTTGAATACATGCTAAGATGGACGAAAGTGGGAGACATTGATATTTAATCAGCATTATTCTGCCTCAGATACCACACCCAGTGCAAGAGTCAACCAAATCCTTGACACGCACAACTCCTTTGAAAATCTGGATACCACAAATGATTAAGTCCTTTAATACAAAATTGCACATAATTTCAAGTGAAAGGATCATATAAGATGCCTAAGACTCAAATTCAAGTAGAATAAAACATTAAAATAAAAGCAAAAAATGGAGAACTTGCTGCAACAGCAATATATAGTTCAAGCTAAATTCCAGTCAAAAGAAGGCCAGCCAAATCTTTGTTTAGGCTCACAGGCTGTAGTTAGGTCAAATGTGAAGAGCAGTCAAAAGGTAGATCAGTGTATTAAAAGCACAAATTAGAAGTTTCAACCTGAGATTTCAGCCTGCTTTATTTTGAGTACAAGCTCCTGCACTGTAGTTGAGGGGGGAGTTGCTGAATAGTTCCCAGCCAAGGATCATGGCAACTTGCATGTGGAGCAAAATACAGACTCGGACTGTCACTCTGCTTGTCACTAACTCTCAAAATGAAAAAAAGCAATTGGTTGATAACCCAGTAACCAACCATTCCTCCGAACAAAGTGTCCTGGAAATTTCAGACAATACTTTGCAGAGATGAGAAGGGAGGTGTTGGTGAGAATGGTTTATTTGGCCAGAGCCCCAAATCAGGGAGAGGACACTCTACCTGGGCAGAGGTGGTGTTAAGAACAGGGCTGAAACCCCTACCTCTATAATCTTCTTCCTTTCCTGCAATCAAAAACATTTCAGAAAAATAACAATTCTACTGGTAGTTATTCAATTACTTTGCCTTCAGTGATTTCAGGATGGGTATTTTTTAATTTGGTAAAGAATGACTGTCTGGAAGAGATTTGCAAAACAAGTGCAAATTCCTCCTTCACATGTATTGGATTAAGAAAAAAAAATCCTGTCAGATATTTGCAAATAGGAAAAGAGCCACTATGTTTGTGACGATATAAACTGCTGAGAGGCAAATGACTCAGAAGTTGTTATTTGGAAAAAAGCAGTGGAAAATTAAACAAAGGAGGAAGCTGAATCTCTGAATAAGATGCCCTGTTGTTCAGTCATTTGACATGCAGAAACAGTGGTAGAATGTATGATGTACTGACGCAATTAAAAAATGTAACCAAACTGGAGTAAGGAGCATGACTGCACAGTACAGGTAAACTTTGAGAGTGTTTAAGGAATAACTTGTTTATTCCTAACCACTCCACCCAGAGAGGGATGACTTTTTAGGCAAAAAGAACTCCCACACATTTGTGTAACTACAGTTTACAGGAAAAGAAAGGAAAGAGGTAGAAAGGAAATCTAATCTGGTTTCTGTTATAGTCAGAGGTGATGCTGATACCCTCAAGACACCAGCCGTAGCTTCCAGACTTTTCCCCAACACTGTCCAACACTGCAGGTTGACTCCTTCACCTCTGAAAAAAGCATTGGATGTGGGATCTGCCACCATATTGCAAGGGTCCTGAAAGTTCAAATCCAAAGCTCATGGGAGCTGTTGTGGTCTAGCTCCTAGCTAGAAGAACACAGTAATATTAACTTTGATAAATACAAACCTTCAGTATCATCGCTGTTTCCCACTAGAAAAAAACAAAACAAAACAAAACAACACGGAATATCCTATAGCTATTCTAACACCAGAATGGTACCTGAAGAAAACTCCAGCATCTTGAAATTACTCATTTGTGGCTGACATGACTATTTTTTACTCTGGAAGCTTACCCTGAGACCTCTGCTTAGGATGCATACAAGTGGCAGGCAACAGGACTGGAACATTCTCTAACCAACGACAAACAGTAGACATTGCCAAAGCACTGTACATTTGGCAGTATCTTCAAAAACAAAGCCAAGAGTGGAACAGCTGTGATACTGAAGGTAAACATGTTGAAAAATACTAGCAGAAGGTCTGTAAAGTGCCTGGTTTTAACAAATTCCTGAAAAAAGGCCATTCATGCTGATTAACACAGTCAAATTAAAAAGCACATGATTTGATAAAGAAAAAATGAAATTACAGTTTATACTAACTAAGAAAGTTTCTAAACATGACAGGACTATTTACTGTGTGAGGTAAGAGCAAAAAGCTGTACGAAGTAGAATTACACTGAACCTTTTCACTTCAAATTATTTGAACCTTTTAATATTAAGTCAAGACTTAGAGTATACAAGGAAAGGCCAAAGGTAGGGTAACAGCAACAGAAAGACAGAAAATAGAAATACCCAGTGCACTGGAGTTATCCTATTTTATGTGCAGCACAACTTCCAAAAGTTTGAAAAACAAGAAGCCAAATCTCATCCACTTTCTTATTTTTGTGAGAACTTTGACAGTCCTTTCACCCAAAATACACAAAGGAAATTAGGGTTTAGTCTGGTCAAAATCTGTGATGTGAAGAGCTACACAAAAGATATCAAACTGCAGATACCTACTACTAATGAGAAATTATAAAAAAACTACTTCCCATTTACTTCCACACTTTCTGCAGATCAGACATGCATCTCAGCACTGGGGACAAAAACAGAAATAGGGAACTTCCTGCTATTGCTACAAACTCTTTTTCAGATTATTTCAGTGAGCACTCAGAGATCACTACATTAGAATATTCAAACTCATGCAGCCCACGGTCACCCCATGAACAAACCACAGCAGTCCCAGGGCAAGCTGCCTCTCATGGAGCGTGTGGGAGACCTGGATATCTGTTCACACAAACCAGTCCCGTGGAACACAAAATGAGGAATCTTCCTTCTCTCTGAGAGATGGAGAGAGACAAGGTAGATGCCAAGTTCATTGGTATTCCAGCACCTAATAACCTCATAACTAATTAAAGAATGACGATGACTGGCAAGTGGACTCCTACAGATGGTAAGGCAGACCTTCCACATTTGGATACTGCTTTGGCAGACACACAGTTTTCTCTGTTCACAAAGACAACGAGAAGGTGGGTGCTGTTTTTTCTGCAAAATCATCACTAAAGTAGTAACGTAAACAGATCCTAGGTTCACAAGCAGCACTGGTTGTTTTTGGAGGAGCTTCCAGAACAAACTGCACACAAATCAATATGCTTTACACAAATGTTCAGCTTTATTTACATAACCCAATCTCTTATATACTTTCACTGCCCTCCGGCACGTGATCACTTTCAAACTATTGGTTATATGCTGTAACCCATGAACCGAGCATGTATTACTAGCACATTTCCTATTGGGTGCATACAGATGTCCACGCGATATGAAGACATTGCTTTTCTCTAAAAACTCCTCCTTATTTTTGTCACAGGTTTCTCTTTGCTTACATTCCTGCAGTCTGTTATCACTGCTTCTGTACTTTTCCACTGCCTGCAAATAGGTTTCTGGCTATGTCAGGCCCAGGCCTAACTGAGGCCTATTAGTATGGTTTGTCCATAGTGCGTCTTTTTTCAGCTAAGCACTCCACAACTGGCCTACATCTTACAATTTCTTACAAGTTCTTACAATTAAGGAAGAACTGAGCTGAGTATCAGCACCCATTGTAGTCATAGCACATTAGCCTGTAGGGCTTCACCATTCGTGTTTTTTGGCAAAGTAGCTTTCCAGCTGTGAAAGTTCCAGGGCTCCTGCTGATAAAGCTGGCTAGCTGTTATCTCCCTTCAGACTGTCAGACAATTTGGTCCTTATTGAATGAATACTAACCTTGAGCAAAAGAAGTGCTGGCCAGCAAAAAAATAACGGCTTGTGAATTTGCAGAAAGACATGCTCTCAGCCGACGCACTGCAGGTGCAGTTGAATACAAATCTATCACTTCAAATAAAAAGCTCTTTTCTTGTGATAACCAAAGCCCAACACTGGTCATACAGTACCACTTCTCTAAGACCACTCTCATCCTCAGCTCTTGGAAACCTTTCATTTGCAGGCAGGGTGAGATGGACAAATTGAGACCTTGAAGTGGCATTCCAGCCTGCTCTTCTTAAAAACAAGGTTGAGTTTTTAACACATAATCATCTTTCAAGAAGAAATCTTCATCAGCTCAGTTATTATTGTGGAAGACAATCTGAATAAACAATGTCAAATTAAGAGTTCCCTTTCATGCTTCTTTGTTTTGTTTGATTGCTTTGGGTATATGTTTATTTAGTCAAATTAGACAGTCTGTTTGGCAAAGATGTTTGCCATTATGTTGCATCCTCCTTTAGAAGAAACTGATAGCTACAGTTTTACTATCTACAACATCTATAAAGATTTTATAATCTGTGGGAGTGAAGGTAAGGAAATTAAAGAGTATGAAAACAAAACTGATACATGAATATATTTTTTAGGTGTAACTAGAAATTATATATAGCAGCCCTGTAACATTTTTCTTGCCCAATACCCATGGGCAAACACCATATATGAAATAATTAAACCCCTGTCTACCATTGCTATCATCATTCTATAGCTTCTGGAACTATACATGAGCTGGTAAACATTAATGACATTTTCCAATGGTAGTATTTATCGCCCCTGTGAGCTATTGCATATGGGCTTATCCCCAAAGAGTAATACTAACCTCTGAAAGACTGAGAACAGACTAACCCTTACCTGGAGGCAATTACAGTTATTTTTGTTTATGCATGCCTTTGTATGCCAACCAGTATTGACTATTTTTTAATTAACTTTCAGCATACTGTTTCTGCACAGAAAATCATTTTTACTGTTGTGGAGACAAAACTTGCAAACCTGAAATCTCCCTTTCTCTCCCTGTTATTGTGGACATTTGAATTGTGTTTCCCCTCTTTTCTTTTTTCATTTAAATTCAATATTGCATTCTCAAGCACTATTTGATTGCCACCAAGGAGACACAAATGAACTTCTACAAAAGGTTTGCAGCACAAAGGATGAGAAGATGCTTTGTGAGAATAACTAGAAAAAGGAAACAAATGCAAAATCATAAAAGAAATTTTGGAAGTGAGCTATCATTGCTGTCAGTATATGGAGAATATTGGAAGGAAAAGTGCTCTGACATATTAGCAACACATCTGTGTGTGCAAGCCCCAGAGGGGCTGGAGGGCCATGTGCTCTCAGCACAATGCAGATAGTCTACACTGACCTTTTCATGATTTGGATGCCTTTTCCACCATAACAGGCCAGATTTTCTAGTATTCTAGTATTCTTCCCGTGTCCACAAGCAATTATAGACTTCTATAAGGTCTTTGTGCCATCTGCCACAATCCGATCTTATAGAGAAAGCTCACGTCAAAGTGAACCACATAACCTGCATACACAATGTTACTCCTGACCTCAGCGTTCTACCTTTCTGCTAACTCTTCAGGATGGATGCAACAGAAAGGCTGGAGTTCCTGAAGAGCCAAAGGAACACTCAAGCTCCAAAGAACACCAGGTCAGACTTCCCTTAGTCAGCTATAGAGAGGTAAAGGACTGGATTTCCTAATTCCTTGATGCCATCTGGGATTACCATTTAATTTAATTAGCCTGTTCCATGTAGTTCAGCAAAATCAAGCATCAAGACATGAAATCTGTTATATGGCTATAACTGCAGTAACCAGGTTTACCTTTTCTCTCTGAATTGTTTTCTTTTTCAGGATTTCAGCTTCTTCAGCTGCCTTTCTTGCTTTTACATATTCTTCTCTCTTGTGCTGCATGACATAAACATTCAAAATTATTTTACATATGTATTTATACAAGGAATGCATAAGGTAACTTGACTCCTGTACTGTATATCTTTCAAATCTAAAGTGTGTTTGGGGAAAGTTTCCAAAATTTTTTCCTTAAAATGAGACACTAAATAATGCAGGTTGTGCAACAGCTACTCCAATATTGGCTTTAAGAAGGCTGAGAAATCTAGGACTGATAAATGGGCATCCATGCAAGGAATCACACAGCTGACTGATAACTTACAAGCATTTATACTTCTTATAACAGGAACAACATTTCCACATAAGTACAGGTTAGGGCAGTACACTGATCAATTAGTTGAAGTGAAGGCAGCGTGCCAAAAGATACAACAAGGCATAGAAGTGTCTTTACAACTGTACTGGTTATAATTTTCTATATCATCTGTGATACAGATTGCTACATATTTATGGACAGATTTCTTATTTTCTTTCGTGCAGAACATTTGTTTCTGATTTCCTGCTGCTTCCTTCAGGTTTCATGACTTTCTTCTGCCAAGCAACTCTGAGTTCATTTTATAGTCATATGAAAGACTTCACGAAAAGCTTTCTTTTTAATTCTTAAAATAAACAAATTTATTCTTACCAACCTTTTGCTGGTATTTAGATTGCATGAGCATCATTTGCTGGTTTTGCCTTGCTTGAGCCTCTGATTCCTTTCCACCTTAAAAAAACCACAAACATAAAAATTGCATTTTTATGAACATTTTAACTGCAAATACCAGTCATTTTGGAACACAGCAATATAACAGATTGTATGTATGCATACACAGGAAATTTTTCATAATTACAGTAGCTGTCTGATATTAAAGAGAACAGATAGGAGACCTTTTTGATCATTTTACTCATCCATCAAAAGCACTTTCTTATTATTTACAGAGCATCCACTGTATCACCCACTCTACCAACAAATATGTCCCTACAGTATATGATCAGTTTACTGAGAAACTATTCCATTTTCAGAAAATCAGTCAAGCTTTGCAGGTGAGTTTTCATTTGCAGATCCAACTATCCACACCTTTGCTCAGTTTGTCACACACATACAGAGTCAGAAATTCTATCACCAGAAAATTTATCTTTTATCAAATTTAGGATCTTGGACTCTGCCAGCTCTAATGGGATGCTATCACTCTAATATTTTCTAACTAAAGTTTTGGCACTGGAAGAAGAATCCCCTTTCTGAAATGGAAGTCAAGGCCTTCTCACACACTCCTCACATTCATATCCAGGTAGCAGAAGGTGCCCTTATTCAAAGGCATGGCCTCTTTTTTGAGAACATCTGAAGTTCTGGCCATGATGTTCAGCATTCAATAAAAAAACAACTCAAAAACAAAACAAACAAAAAACCCAACCACATAAAGAACTTGATACTAGGGCTTAAGGGATGGAGGATGTTGATTTTATTATTCTCCTGTACTATTTTTCAAAGTATTTTCTTGCTTTGGGAGAACAAATAATTCATTCCATCAGTTGTCACAAAAATCAACGGCAGCTCTTACTTCATTCAGAGGATAGGGGCTCTATTTTCCCCTGATGTTTAAATGGGAAATTCTCCTCTATGTGCTTCCTAATTCTCCAGAAGCAGTTGCACCAATCTGTGCAACCTGAGATGCCTGATATCCTGGGCTGCATCAGAAGTAGCACGGCCAGCAGGTCAAGGGAGGTGATTCTGCTCCTCTACTCCACTCTTGTGAGACTCCATCTGGAGTGTTGCATCCAGCCCTGGAGTCCTCAATATAAGAAGGACATGAACCTGCTGGAGTGAGTCCATAGGAGGGCCTTGAAGATGGTCAGAGGGCTGGAGCACCCCTCCTATGAAGACAGGCTGAGGGAGCTGGGGTTGTTAAGCCTGGAGAGGAGAAGGCTCCAGGGGGACCTCCTAGCCTTTTAGTACCTTAAGGGGGTCTAAAAGAAAGCTAGAGAGAGATTTTTTGCAAGGGCATGTAGTGATAGGACAAGGAGGAATGGCTTTAAACCAAAAGAAGAGAGATTTAGATTAAATATAATGAAGACATTTTTCATAGGTTGCCCAGAGAAGTTGTGGATGTTCAACCCCTGGCAGTGTTTGAGGCCAGGCTGGAAGGGGCTTTGAGTAACCTGGTCTAGTCAGTGGCATCACTGCCCACTGGCACTGGCAGAGGGAGTGGAACTATATTTTATTTAAGGTTCCTTCAGACCCAAGCCATTCTATGAAACGTAAGACAAATATACTAGATCTTTCAGAAGGGATCACTCTTCTCTAAAGCTAGCTTTCTCCACTTACTAATGGAAGGTAACTAATCTTTAGGTGCTTTTGTGAGGTTCAGTGAATGGGAGATAATTCTCTAAGTGTGGCAACATTTCTACAGACAGAAATAAATCTGTAGGATAAGTTCTCAAAAAAGACTGGCCATGCAGTATACAGGCAATAAGCTTAAAGTAGCAATAAGCATACAGTTAGTATTGAGTAGAGTGACTCCTTCACAGGTCTAGAAAATAAAATGGCTATTAAAAAAGTTTTTAAACCTTTTGGATGCTTGATCTCTCTTTTCTAGCCTTTTATTGGCAACATTTCTTGTGTGCACTGTACCTTCTTTATATGTAGTGATGAGCATCATCTCTAAACAAATATTTTTCTGATCATTATTAGCTACAGCCTACAGCCTTTCAACCAGGTTTAATTCATACAAGGCTTGGCTGCAGTGTGTCAAATGTTTGAAGTCAGAGTATGTAGTGACTGGTTGTATATTATATGATCAAAAAAGTGACCATTGCATTTATCAGGCATGAATCGTTCCCTCACTCATTGCTTATGGAGGAGGGTAGGACTTGCATCCTTCATTGCTCTCATCTCTCTATGGTGTCTGAAAGTTTGCCAGTCAAATATTACAGAGCTTAAATCCAGAATACTTATTTCCCTATGGAAAGCACAAGTGTTAAGAAACTTCAAGAATTCTCTGGTGATTTGGACTAGATGTGTAATCTCTTAAAATCACTGTGAGAAAACAACACATGATACTTTTTTACCTTAATGAGTTCCTACAGTGGTGAAATTAGAGATGCCACTTATAATTTTTTTTCCTTCCTTGAGTTCTCTTCAGCTCCAAATTTATTCCTGTGGGAATGATAAGATCTAATAATCTTTGCACGTTATTTCTTTTTAGAGGCACTGAACACAGTGCCTGTGTCTCAGTCTCCAGGAGTCTAAGTTGCAGCTAGACAATGACTGAAGGGATCATATTTTCTTAATTTTTTCCCCCTCTTAATTTTCTTCTTCCTCCAGAAAGTTTTAAAATGCTATAGTGCCAGAAGAAAGCAAGACTCCCCCCAGCCAGTCACTGCAGCTTTGACACCACATCCTCAGTCACACAGCCAGCCCGCACACATCCTGCATAGACACCGTACATCAAATTTCTCTTTTCAGATTTAACTTTCTTCAGAAAAAAGCTTTGTGATTCTTTTGTGATAGAAGCATGTCTTCTAAGAACTGCTCACAAGCAAGAAGCAGATATTACGCATGAATTCACAAAGACCATGTCTGACCACATGACTGCACGTGATGGTAGAAATACAGGGCATTACCACCACTGCAAATTGACTCAGGTTGCACAACAGAATATGTGGGACCAGTCACCTTGATCTAAAAACCAAGTCTGGGTTGGAGTCAGTTCAAATTCCTCTATCTTCCACCTGCTATCTATTTTTATACACATTATCCCACTGCAAACTTATCATGTGTATTTTGGCAAAGGAAGAACTTAATTTGCAGGTCAAGGTAGCCAATTGCCTGCACCATGCACCCCAAATTCTCCTATGATAGCCAAGGGAAGGAAGGGCAACTGTAGGTTTCTAAAACTAATAAAGGCATCATTATAATCATTCAATTTGCTAAAATTAATTTTGCCTCTCTTTTATTAGTCAGTTTCTCAAGGTCATCCCATCACGTTCTATACAGCTGATGTTTTAAAGTTGTCTTGTCAGCAAGTTTCACCAGCTCTGTCCTAGTTTTTGTGCCAAAGACATTAAAGAAAGATACTGAAACAAGATAGGTCTGAAGACAGGTACTTGAAAAACACTTCTAATAACATTCCTCTCGCTTCAGCACAATCTGCAGTTCTGTTCTCTGAACAAGATTTGTTTTGGGTTGAGTTGCCTTGTTTTTGTCTTCTAATTATTTTTTAAAGTAACTCTGAAATATGACTAAATTAAATATTTTATAGTTGTTGCAACAGAAGAGATCTCCTACAGTTTCTCTCACCTGTCTAGAAAAGATGTTGACTGTCTTTGCAAACACATCAGTTCAGTTCATGGTGACTTCAGTTCTTGCAGCTTTTTATCCTGTTTTTAATTTACTTATCTTTGTTGTTATCTTCATAAAATTGGTAATACAGGGCTTCCTGCACATTTAGCCTGCAAATGCTGAAGCTTCAGGTATCACTCTTGCCTCTTCAAGAGCCAGCAGTCATGAAAGCACACATACTAGCCCCTAACACAGAGTTTTCTTATGGGTAACTGGAGGGTCTCCAATACATGCTGTCCATCTTCATACTAATGGCAAATGTGTGCCCCCTCAGAGATATCAACCAAAGACAGTGTCAACAGCAGGAGGGATAATCCACCTGTTTTACCCAATTGTTAGTGCAGATTTTCTACTCTGATCTCAACAGATTTCTTGAGTGACAATCTATGCTGTTTTGTTTCAGAAACACCTTCATTGCCATGACCATCAAGAAACACAGAACACCTACAGTAGGTTCCTGTTATCCCTTATTGATACTGAATCTCTTTCATAAGTAATATGAGAGAAAAAGTGAAAAATGCCTCATGTTCTGGAAAACACAACTTTGCAATTTGCAAGTGATGATTCACATCTTACCCAGTCTCTGTGGAACCAGCGTAATCGGCCCTGGCCTGTGGTCTTCCTTCCACCGCTCCAGGTCATCTAGCTCTTTCTTAGCAACTAAGCAGGCATAAAAAGAAACAAATATATGGAAGTTAGAGAGAATACTAAAAAGCATGCAGTATTGCTAATTGCATGTGATCCTGAAGACCATCCAGGAACAAACTTGTTCTCAAGGGGTGCAGACACCCCTCAAGATGTTACTCAGTCACTGCAATGATCAGCTAACAAGGCAAATGTTTTCCCTAACTCGAGACTCTAATGCCGAGCAAACCCTAGGACTCAACTCCAAAAGCATAACGAAAAACAGCTAAGGGACTGCTAATAGGCTGCTTTTTAACCTCTGGGAACCCATACGTAAAAGCCACAGTATTTAGTCCTGCAGGTAAAGCAGAAGTTGTTACAATTAAGATGTTACTGCTGCACGGAGGGAAATGCTTGTGGTATAATGCTCCCCAGCAGGGAAATGAAAAGTAATTTTCCCTCCCAACCACATGCTCTCTAAATAAAAGCAAGATGAATGTATGAATCAGGTTCAGATTAAGACACTTCAACACAGGCGCCCGCATGCGAGATGGGCAGCAGTTTCCTAGTGTAGTCAGAGGAAGGCAACACAGCCAGTGTGCCAGCCATATGCCCTAGGATGGCTGATTGATTTAACTTCTCTCTTTACCAACTGCCAGAGGAAGAAAAACAACAATTCCTTCCAATAGCAAGTCCAACAAAACCTGTGTTTTACATTATCACTTCAGTTACTCTAGGAGCTCATTTCTTTATTACTAACCATATTTCCCAATGGCTGGCTATGGCTATCAGACACTAAGTCTCCTCTAAGAGGATAATGCCAGCACACGAGCAAGTTTCTAAAGAGACCCAAAAGAGACATCAGCTTTTTATTTCACCTTTAAAGCAAGCATTTAGGTAGAGACTGCTTTCAATTAGGTCCTATTTCTGCCAGTATCCAAAACGTAAATACTTGGCATGCTTCAGACCTTACATGCTGCTGGCACAAAGTGAAACCAGATCTTTATTAGAGCAGCAGCACTTTTTCTGTTAATGTCACAGTCAGGTCTAAGATGATCTGCTGCGATTCATCCTTCCAGAAGATTATGGTTTGGTTCAGGATAAGGCAATTTTCTCTCTTGCAACCAAAGGAAGCACAACCCATAAGCCATATTAGCCTGTTGGTGAAGCATTTCAGCCAAACTCACAAAGTTTGAGAAGGATTTAATTGCACTGTTTCCTTGAGGGCTCAAGACATGAGAAGTGCTGACTCGCACTCCTTCACCTTTCATATCTTGCATAAATCAATGGCCAGGAGTGTAGCACTGCAGTGCTCAGTCACCTCTGCATACAGAATTTATTTCACAACTGACTCTGGTTGTAACTTTGCCAAAGAAAGATCTTTCTGGTAGAGGTTCAGGGTGTTCCTGCTTAGCTACTTTCACCTGCAAGGCTCAAAACCAAGAAAAAGGCAGTGTATATATACAGATACTTTCCATCTAAAAAAAAGGCCACCTACAATCCTGAAATGCAGACTGAAGAACCAACAGTGGCTGTAGTTATTTTTGTTTCCACGTGGGAGTATTTCAAAAATATTTCTTATCTACATTTTTTCTTCTTCCTACTGACCCAGAGACTGTTCAAAGTTGGGCTCTCCAATGTGAATTCAGTCCTCTAAAACCTGGATAGAGCTAATTCCAGCAGTTTTGTAGAAGCCATCTTGAACAGTTCCAGCACTCAAATTACCAAAACCCTTCTCCTGAACAAGATTTATTCTGCACGAAGTGTAGCCAGATGAGGAGCTTTTCTTCAGAAAAGCTACATGATGATGGAGAATGCTCATAGCACTGACTTTACTGTCACAGCTGCACATATAAAACCATTGTAAAAATGAGGATAATAATAAAATGCACAAAACCCCAAAGTTATTCAAGTAGAAGTAATGTATTACCATATTAGACAATTCAACTTACTTTGCTGTAACTTCTTTCTTCTGGTTTCATCTGGAGTTACCAAGACATATGGGTTTAAGCTAAAATGAAAGAAAACACTTTTATTTTTCCTGTTTATGCAAAACCAGGACTAGAAGGGAGTGCCTTTATCAACAAAGTCAGTTTTCTGCTGTCTTATCAAATAACTTCATAAAAAAGCTAGTATTTATTCTGATTCAGCTTTTCAGGAATTTTTGGTAAATACTCCAGAAATACTTGTTATATTTGGAGCTGACAATAGATACCAAGGATAACATTTTCAGAAACTTTCAGCATAGTCTTTGCTGTTCTTATTCAAGACTCACTCTAGACTGCTGACCTCAAATCTCATACATTTTGAATCAAATCCATTCCTTGAATCAAAATATTCCATGTGGAACACCACTGTCTACTGGGAAGAGCACTGGTGCTGACAGTCCCACCCCATACCTTGAGGGCACCAAGCACCTTGTGGATTTAAGCAGTCTGCCCAAAAGTTGTCCAAGGAGTATGCAAAGTCATACTGTTTGTGATGGACCCAGGTGACTTACTCTCAGACTGAGCCTCAGTTTCCTTGTCAACCTTACATTTTCAGGGACCAGAAACTCCTTGGGCATATTCATCTTGCTGTCATGCCTAAGGTGCGACTCACTGAATCAGGACAAGGGCCCTGTTTTGCTAAACTTAATTCAAAATGCAGTTGCTGTCTCAAGGAGCTATCAATCTAACGTGACAGCAAAGAGGCAAGACAGGGTTCAGAGTGTATTAAGAGAGTCGAGGTGATCAAAAGAGTGATGAAAACATGTCAGCTCCATGTCCTCAGACGACAAAGGGTTTTATCTTCATGGTGTGTTGTGTGGGTAGTTTACATGGCTCCTGCTCAGCAGAAGCTGTGCCATGGGGATGCAGGTTTACCAGAAATGCACTAAGCAGCAGTTGGCCCCATGTATCAGAGTAAACTCACAACTCTCTTGGCAGGGTTTTATATGCACACATGGGCACAGATATTTCATCTGGCTTGATTGCAGCGAAAGCACAAAGAGAAGAGCAGCCAACAAAGAATAATGAGGGGTGATGTCTGAGGCTGTTAAGGAAGGGCCGCAGGGGGTGGCTAGAGGACAAGCTAGGAAGCAGAGAAAGTACAGTTGGCTGTGGAAAAGTAATGAAACAATGAGGCCCAAGACCAAGGCTTAAAAGGGAAATGAAAATCATGCAGAGAGATCAAAGTGCCAAAAGCTGCCTGCTGCCGTATCAGTGTAACTCAGGGTTTGGGAAGGAGAGTATTTATATCCAATTACCTCTTTCTCTTTGAAGACTTATTCTAGGAGGATGTGGATTAATTTATGAGATTAAACTAGTAAAGATAGAGCTGTGAGCTTTAATGGTGCCATTTAATATGATCCTTTCCCTTCCTGCCAGCATTCTCTGGTGCCCCTGAGACTGTGAGACTGTTCTTCACCTCTCCAGTGAATTCCAGACCCTCAAAGGCAGGAGCTAAGAGAGCAGCAATGCTCCACTGGCATTCATCACACAACTGCAACCATTACTTAAAAGAAGCTTTGACAACACATCTCACTTATGGCAGAACATTCCCCATCAGTGATGTTGTTTCAGATTTTTCTTTATTTGAGTGAGTAGTAGCATTTACAATTTATCCCAAAGTGCCTTTAACAAGCCGTTGCACAATTTATCTGGTTCGAGATTTTTTTAGTAGCTTTTGTTGCTGTTTCAGATATTAAGATCATATTTCTCTCAAGTTAATACACAAAAATTGAGTACCTTTTACACTCCCATCCCTTTGGCAGTGATAAAAATGGCTGAAATTTTGAGTTGCAAGGCTACATATTTTCTCCTCCCAGAAATCAATCAGTGCATCTCAGACATCACACTGTTTCACAGCACTAGAGGGAAGAAGAATTTTTATACCATGTACTTTGATGACTTGAAACAGTGTTTGTTTAGTTGATTTGTTTTAAATTAGACTCAAGTTTAAAAGAAAGCAGGGACCTCTGCTTGTCTGAACATATGTGAGAAATCTCTGTATCCAATCTAGCCCTTATGCCATGAATAATTTCCTTTATCTGCTACTGCTTTTTGCCTGGAAAGTTCAGAGTCCAGGAGACCAGGTGGGGGCACTCTTCTGACATCTGACCATGACCTCACCCTCAGAAATTCAGAAGGACTATACATGAAATACAGCAAAGATCAATCAGTTTACAAAAGGGTTAGAGGTGACACTACATTTATTATCTGTTTTCCGAAGAGCAGATTAAGAGTCATTGTGGTTAAACGAGCGCTTAATTTAAGCTCAAACTGGTTTCTATGTTATTGAATAAAGGAAAAGTAAAATAAAATGAGGATGTCATGTCTCCAGTGGGGTCAGAAAGGGAGAACAGGATACCAACTTTTGTTTGTCTTTTACCTAATGCTTATACTACATGCTTTGTTTTTATACCACATGCTTTGTTTTAGTCCAAGTTATAAGAAAGGAAAACAATGGGGGAAAAAACATTATTGAGTTTATCTAATTTTATAATGTTCACCTTGGTCTCTGGAAAGATATATCAGAGTGTAGCTTTGGATACTGAGATTACAAATGGGCTTAAGCTAAAGGACGGTAGGTTTAGATTAGATATTAGGAGGTTTAGATTAGATATTAGGAAGAAATTCTTTGCTGTAAGGGTGGCAAGGCATGAGAACAGGTTGCCCTGAGATGTTGTGGATTCCCCATCCCTGGAGATGTTTAAGACCAGGTTAAACGAGGCTCTGAATAGCCTAATCTAGTGGAAGGATCCCTGCCCATGGCAGGGGGGTTGGAACTAAATGATAAATATTTATGGCCCTTTCCAACACAAACCATTCTATGATTCCATGATAAGGAGAAAGGGACAGCAAGTACACAGTAAACTTCTTGTGCGATGGGTGAAAATCAGGGTATGAGATGGTCCTTGATTTTCAATCCTACATCAGGAGATGAACCAGAGGAGCTGTTACCTGAGAGACTCCATGCGCCTTACCAGTTCTAAAATCCACACCTAGCATACTTTATTTTCTTGAGGGTTTTTTTTGAAGGAAAGAAAGTTAATTCAAAACCACACCACCAGCTTTTACCTCATGTTTTTATCCAGTTTGTAGGATATTGCATGTCATTTCTTTGTTCAGGCAAAACCTCTGATCCAGTAAAGCCTATAAAATCCGCTACAGCCTGTCAATTTAATATTCCAGTCAGTTTCTGGGTTGCCACAGTAGCCATAAGTCTGGAGCAAATTATCCTACTTACCTGAGTAGCAATTAAGGAAATGTGAAGATTTGAAGCTATCAGTTGTATGCAGACTTTTTGTGCTTTATACCAAAATCCTCAGCCAGAAAGATTATAAAGAATTTTACTTTACTGTTTCCCTAATAATGATTCTAATTGTTATAAGACTTAAGCCTATCTTTGAGATAGGATTGTTTTATAAATACAAATCCAGAAGTCACTGGAAGAGGTGGGAAGGACATCTTAACCTGGTTATAGCTCTTCAAAGGAGAAAAACAAATAATCTTCTACCTTTATAGAACATATTAACCCTGAAGGGAATTTTTTGTTACATTTTCTCCACAGAAAACGGGAATGTATTGACTCATGGCACAGACTCAACAGATATTAATGAGAGTAAGAAAGTTATAAACCAATAAAAGAATGTATCCATACTGGAAAAAACCTAACAAACAAGTAGGAACCTTCTATGATTTTTCAAACAAACAGACAACTAGTGGGATTATAAATACCTATGTTACAACATATTGTTGTGATCTAACCCTAGCCAGCAAATAAGCACCACAGAGCTTCTCACTCACTCCCTCCTGGTGGAACAGAAGAGAGAATTAGAAGGGTTAAAGTGAGAAAAGTTGTGGGTTGAGATAAAACAGTTTAATAGGTAAAGCAAAAGCTGTGTGCACAAGCAAAGCGGAACAAAGAATATATTCACCACTTCCCATGGACAGGCAGGTGTTCAGCCATCCCCAGGAAAGCAGGGCTCCATCACACGCAATGTGTGACTTGGGAAGACAAATGCCATCACGCCAAATGTCCCCCCCCTTCCTTCTTCCTCCCCCAGCTTTATATACTGAGCATGATGCCATATGTTATGGGATATCACTTTGGTCAGTTGGGGTCAGCTGTCCCAACTGTGTCCCCTGACAACTTCCCATGCACCCTGAGTCCATTCACTGGTGGAGTGGGTGAGAGGCAGAAAAGGCCCTGACTCTGTGTCAGCACTGCTCAGCAGTAATGAAAACATCTCTCTGTTATCAACACTATGTTGCTCACAAATCCAAACCATGGCCCCATAGCAGCCACTGTGAAGAAAATAAACTCTAGTCCAACCAAACCCAGCACATATATATAGAGGTATATGTCAGGAGAAACATGCAATACAGTCATAGAAAATCTGCAATGATAGTTTACAATATCAGTGATCAGCAATACAAGCAACACCATGCCCCCAACCCTAAATTCTGAATCCTGTGTGCGAGTTTACTTATCTAACTAGCACTACTCAAGGACACCCTCTCAATGCTTTTGGGGCATTGACCATACAAATTTTTGTTCTACTTTCTTTAAAGGTTTCTATAACATAGTTTATTTCTAAAATTGAAAAAACATGTGAGAACTGTGGTTCACCAGTAATATTTTTTGTAGAGCTGTGCTCTTCATTTTTTTCTCCAGTCCACTCCAGCCATCTACCACTGGAGAGCTTTCCAAATGAAGTGTGAAATAGTTTAAAGAGTTACAAAAGTAATGGCTGTTATAAGCTATTTCCAGTTCCACTGTGTTTTATACTGCAGGTGCATTGATACATGAATGCCACAGAGCTTAAAGCTAAATATCTTGCTCTGCTAGGCAAAGTGCTCTGTGTAAGAGAATGTAGAAGCCAAGAATTTAGTTGGAGAGCAACACAAATGACTAAAGCTTGGGAAGAAGACCAAGACAGATTGAGTCTAGAGGAGGGAGTCAGCGGAAGATATGGGTGAAATACTGCATTAAATAGTATGTTAACACCGAATTTAAAATGGAAAA